AATAAGTATATTTATATATTAAATATATATGGTCCGGTTTTTTTTTCTCTAACATCAAACCAAATCAAACCAAACCATAATCGAATTTTTTTTCTCGGTTTGACTCGGATTATCGAATTGATGCGGTTTATCGGTTTTTTTTTGTACACTCCTAGTGAAAAGATCACATCCATCCAACACACCGTTTTTGATTCTTGTCCTCTAGGTTTTCATAATAGATGTTTTTTCACAATTTCATGTTTCACGCACCCGTGATCAAAGTACTCATAGTATTGTTACTATGAATGGGATAATTAAAAAGATAGAATATGCTACTTGTTGTTCTTTTTATCGTCATTAATTAGAACAATGAATGTAATACTTTATTAAATAAATAGAATAATAATATAATGCTACTCTCGAATAAGCCTTCCCTATAACGGGATCATATCCTTGTCACTCACACATATGACTCTTTTAAAAATATTATCAAATATTCAAATCTGAAATACCAGCAAATTATTAATACCGTGGTCCAGACGAAACCCTAGTGTTGCACATTTTCTTCTTTCTTTGTTATGGCTAAGATTTCACGTGGCAATGGATCATTTTAATTATAAAGTTCTCTATTCGATATTGCTAAATTTTTAGCATCTTAATGTAACTAAATTTAAAGAAAATGTTACAAAATAACTAGTTATATGAATAAAAACGACTATATAAAAAACTCTTGTGTTTTAAATTACTGATCTCTTACGTCTTAACGTAATGTCTAATACTCTAGTGAAATATTGGACCTTATAACTAAAAGAACATATGTAATGAGTCACAGAGCTCAGGGGCGGATGTACAATTAAGCTAATAATTAGTTCAGCCAAATTCGATAGTTTTGATTTATATACTGAATTCAGCTAGTAATGAATCAATAATTTTGGTTCATATGCCATATATGTAATATTCAAAAATTTATTAAATATGTATAAATATTAAATTTTCAATCCAATAACTCAAATGATCAGTAAGTTCGTGCTCATCTCTTAATCGATAAGATAAGTCTTTTCCTCTTAATAATAAGTCAAACCTCTTAGGTTTCACTGTCAAAAGGTGCGGAATAGTAAAGTTCTTCTTTCTTAATTAAAGATCAGTGTATTATCACTTTTAGCCCGTGCCAGAAACTATTTACATTTGATAGCCGAAAAAGTGTATAAAATTTGTATAATTTTTGTATATAGCATACAGAATATATATATATATACACAAAAACTATACAAATTTTATAAATTTTTTCGACTATTATTCTTACAACGGCAATACAGTGTCATTTTTCTTTACAGATCTCGGATTTGACCCTTAAAAATAAAATACCCTTAATAATGAATTCTAAAACCCACTTAATCCGAATTTACTTCGAGTAGTGGTTTTCTAATATTGATTGCTATTAAATAGTAATAGATTGAGCTCATAGGTTTCCAAATACTACGAAAATAAGAAACCAAACACTAGCTAGTTGAGCAACTAGTTGTAATCATTTAACTTTAAAAATCTTTCTTGGTAAGCATGGGGATCCATTTGTTATCGCTGGATGACAGAGTCCAGTTGACATAATAAAGAATAAATTAAATACAACTAGGTCCCTGTCCTGTCCTATCGAAGGGACCCTTGGAGCAACGGTAAAGTTGTCTTCGTATGATCTATAGGTCACGGGTCGGAGCTGTGAAAGCAAATACTCCCTCCGTTTCAATTTATGTGAACCCATTTGACTGAGCACAGAGTTTAAGGAAAGAGAGAAGACTTTTGATCTTGTGGTCTAAAATGAAGCACATATATTATGTGTGGCTATAAATCTTTGTGTAAAGGTAAATTGTTTCCAAATAAGGAAAGGAGTCATTCCTTTTGGCACGGACTAAAAAGGAAATAGGTTCACATAAATTGAAACGGAGGGAGTACTAATGTTTGCATTAAGGTAGGTTATCTACTTCACACCCCTTGAGATGCGACCTTTTCCCGTACCCTGTGTGAATACAGGATGCCTTGTACACTGGGCTAGGATCCAGCTTTAAGGTTGTGGGTTCCCGTGAACCCAGTAGTTTTTGCTCAAACCCTATATTTGTATTAAGAAATTCACTAAATATCTATAAAATCTGATTGGGAACCTAAAAATCCTGGATTCGCCTCTACACGGGGCTACCGTTTTTTGTGTTGTCCTATCATTTTTGCATATATGAACTTTCTTCTCCACAAACACTCTTCTATATTATTGTATAGCATATCAAGTCGAAATTTTATGCAAATTACAAAAAATGAGTGACCAATCAAAACCATTACTAAAGCCAAAAAAAGCAACAACACTTGATGAAACAATAGAAAGTTGCATAGGAGAATTTGGATGGGCACAATTCTTACAATCCATTCTCATATCTCTATCATGGGTTTTCGATGCTCAACAAACATTCATTAGTATATTTACCGACATGCCGGCCGTTTCTGAATGGTCGTTAATAGGTGCGAGTTCAATTCTCACTGGTCTCCCGGCATCTTCGTTTTTCATAGGTTGTCTTATCGGAGGTTTCCTTCTTTCAACCTTAGCTGACACAAAACTTGGTCGAAAAAACATGTTGGTTTTATCATGTTTTATTATGTCTATTGCCGGAGCTATAACATCAATTTCTACAAATATTTGGATGTATTCATTTTTAAGGTTTTTAACTGGATTTGGAAGAGCTACAATAGGAACTTGTGCACTTGTTTTGTCAACGGAATTAGTGGGAAATCAATGGCGTGGACAAGTTGGAATTATTGGTTTTGTTTGTTTTACTATTGGATTTCTTTCTTTACCACTTATAGCTTTTGTGAATAGAGATTATTCTTGGAGAGTTTTATATCTTTGGACTTGTATTCCAACAATTTTGTACTCAATATTGGTTCATTTCTTTGTTCGTGAATCACCAAGATGGCTTTATGTACGAGGAAACAAAGAAGAATTTGTCCTAACTTTGAAAAGTATTACAACAAGAAGTAGCTTGACTTTAAGCTTCTTTGGCTCCTTCATTGATTTTGAAGATCAAGAACACAATGTAAGTTAATTTTTTCTCATTTATGTGGTCTACATTTATTCAAAGTAGCTTGAAGGGGAGTCTTGGAGCAATAGTAAAATTGTCTCCGAGTGACTTATAGGTCACAGGTTCGAGCCGTGGAAGCAGTCACTAATGTTTGCATTAGGGTAGGCTGTCTACCTCACCAAAGGATGTGAGCCCTTCCCCGAACCTTGCGTGAACGCGGGATGCCTTGTGCATCGGGTTGCCCTTTTCAATTTAATTTCTGTATTATTTTCTTCTTTAATGAAAAGAAATGAGGTTACATTATTTTTGTTTTAGTTTTTTGAAAATTATATCTTAAAGTAAAGATAACTTATATATGTTGCACTTAATGTCCATTAGTTTCTTATGTTTTATTCATGAGACACACTTCTGCCGAGAAAAGATGTCTATCTGGTCACTAGTATAGTTAAGGTGGCTAAACAAAATTATGATGCCAATTTTGAGTGTCCATCTATGTATTTCGCCTTAAAAAAACCTTTGGTAGGTTTCTATGATAAGTAATTTTATAAGATTACACCAATCTAAAATGAGAAGGGGAGCCTTGGAGTAATGATAGAGTTGTCTCTGTATGATCTATAGATCACGAGTCCGTGCAGTAGAAGCCGACATTAATGCTTGCATTAGAGTAGACTGTCTACATCACACCCTTTGGGGTGCGGCCATTTTCCGGATCTTGCGTGAACACGGGATGTCTTGTGAACCGAGCTGCGCCTTTTAAAAGAAAATTTAGAATGAGTTGCTAAAGCATAGAATTACCTATATGTGTACATGGAGTAAACAAGTCCAAATGTCTGATTTATTCAGCATTTTTTTATTTGCATGTTATTTTATTCATAAAGCATGTCTAATTTATGTTAATGTGTTTTGAAAATTCTAATGCAGAACTCAGAGTCAACAATCAATCTCTACTCAGCTATCAAGATGTTGGTAGAAAAGAATTGGGCTTTCAAGAGACTAATATCAGTTATGCTTATTGGTTTTGGTGTTGGATTGGTTTACTATGGGATGCCACTTGGAGTTGGAAATTTACCTTTTAATCTATACTTAAGTGTCACATTAAATGCATTATCAGAATTGCCAGCTTCAATGGTAACATTCTTTCTTATTGGCAAATTAACAAGAAAAAAATCACTTTTGGGATTTGCTATATTAAGTGGAATTTGTAGCATAGGTTGTGCAATAGTTAAAGATAATTCTTTAAAAGAATTACAAATGGGGTTTGAATTGGTTTCCTTTTTTAGTGCATGTACATCTTTTAATGTACTATTGATTTATACTGTGGAATTATTTCCAACTTGTGTGAGGAATTCAGCAGTGTCAATGGTGAGACAAAGTTTGGTTCTTGGTGGTGCATTTAGTCCAATTTTGGTTGCTTTTGGGAGAAAAAATAGATGGTTTTCTTATGGGGTATTTGGAATGAGTATTGGAATTTGTGGTTTGTTTGTGTTGTGTTTACCAGAAACTAAAGGGAGAACATTGAATGATACTATGGATGAAGAAGAGTACAAGGAAAGAGTATTTGTTTGCTAATAATTATTATAGTACTTCTTCATCCTTAATTAGAAGTCTCGGGTTCGAGCTCTAGGTATGAAATCGTCTTTGTTATGGAGCACTTTATCCCCTAATATGGAGCTTTCAGGTGCTGATCCAAATTTGGTTGGGCCTCAATGTGAATACTAGACACCGAGTGAAAAAACAAAAAAAAAGATTATTGTAATAAACATTTGTCAATAAAAGATTATTCCATTTCAGAAAATGATACTATCGGTTTTTCTATTTATATATAGAGTTTTGCTGATTTTGGAAGGTGGACTATAGTTGTAATAAGAAGATATCAATCAAGAAACTTTTATTTCTGTATTCATGACAAATTATTAATCCCTTGGTGGCATTTTATGTCAAGATGTTTGATTGGACATGGAATAAAATTAAAGACTTTAATTTAGATAGTAAGTCTTTTTCGGTCAAACACGGGATTATATACAAGAAAATACATACATATTTATATGCTATTGGTAAAAGCTTATCCACAGCCGATATTTATACCAAATCAATAGATGCATGTCATGCGTTTTCGCATAGACTTCTCTCTCTAAATCATCATCAACTAACACATATTCTCACCTTATTAAATTATTCAACCATAGCAACTTGATATGGTTTGGTGTAAACATCGGATATCGGTCACTGAAGTTGCTATTAAGTGTATAACCGGATGCGACTAGTAATCCGTCGACGACAAATGGGACAATCTGACAATCTTGGACCACATTCTCTGCAAGTCTGCATTCAATTGATTATCAAGTCATTAAAACCATATAAATGCAAGGAGAGAAAGTGAGGAAAAAGAAATTCATAGTAGAAAACCGGTCGTTTGGTTCAAAATCAGGATATATTAAACAAGGACTATAACCTGGATAAGTTATCCCACCTTCTATATAGCATAATTTATACTGAAATTTTGATATAAAATAACACCTGTTTTAGCTAATACCTCCAATCAAACTCGGGACATAATCTCTTGAACCAAACGGACCTAAGAGTGGAAAAAAACTCACCATATGTCCACAACCAAAAGCCATGTCCTTAGTACCAGTTAGACAAACTGGGCAAACCTTCATTTTCAACAAAACAAAGCAGGAAATCAGTTACCTCACCAAAAGAGAAATGTCATATTCAACAAGGGAAGAACCAAAAGCAATATAGAAAATGAATCTGAGTTTTACATACAATTTTCAAAGCAATCAATACTAAAGTCCTTACTTGGCTATGTTCATCTTGCGCGGATCCTGAAAGACTGCTTTGATCTTGAGTTGGGATTGCCATAGGGCGACGGTATGACACTGGTGGTCGTCTTGGAACTACTTTCTTCGCCTTAGATGTTCTTTTCCTATACAACAAAATTTCAACAGAAGTGATATGTACAACCAATGCAAATCTCATGTTAATTTCTCTTATCATCTTAATTGTAGTCAAACAATGAGGAAAAGAGACTAGCATACACTTTTTTGTTTTACTTAGTTATGAGGTGGCGTAACTGGTAAAGTTGCTGGCACATGTTCGAGTCGTGGAAACAGCCTCTTACAGAAATGCAGGGTAAGGCTGCATACAATAGACTCTTGTGGTCCGGCTAGAGGCAGGCAGAATTTGAAGGTTCGGGGTACACCTTTGGATTCAACCAAAATTTACTTTGTATATAGGATGTTCACTACTAATATATCACTATTTTTTATAGTATATATGTATACATGGAATTTTTGCCGTTTACGGGTGTCGGTGACCCCTCTGGTATAGCATAGGTCCGTCTCTGGGTCCGGCCCTTCTCGGGACCCCGCGCGCATAGCGGAAGCTTAATGCACCGGGCTGCCCTTTTTTTAGTTATGAGGTGAAGTTTTGTGGTTTAAGATCACATTATATAACATAGACTAAGAAAAGGAAAGGCTAATTCATACCCCAGCAGACCAAGTTCTCGAGCTGCTTTATATTGGATAGGAATCTCCATAAGTGCAGCAAGAGCAAATGCAGATTCCTTTGCAGAATCAGTTGTATGTTTTGACATGACACCGGTAAAATTCACAAACTGCACGACGAAAAGGATTGTAAAAACTAATGTACGGTTCTATCGCAGATTCCATCTGTAACTTAAATAGTCTAATAGAATTATACCTGAAAATTATCAAATTCACGCGCAGGAATCCGGTCATCAAATTTTTGCATGTCTTCCCAAGGTCCATCACCAACTCCAACAAGAACAATAGAGAGAGGATACATGCTGAGAACAAATGCTTATCAGTTTTCTATATATGAAAATTCTTCAAATAAGAGATAGAATATATTATACTCAATACTAACTCATATATCAGAATTTTGATTTTGCGACTATAATGTATGTTGAGGTCAATCATAAAGAGAAAGAGTAGAACAAAGTACTCGAGGAGGGCAGAGCATTTAGCTTAGGCACTGCCTCTATCTGCTTATCTATTAGTTTAGAAGCCAATTAAAACAAGAAGAAACCTGATCAAGATTCAAGAGTAATCGTCTATAACCAAAATCGCCACAACCAATTCCCAAATTGAAAGAGAATTTAGTATTAATGAAAATCCTCAAAGGCAAATGCTCAATTGAGTGAAATGGAGTGCTAGAGGTAAGATACCGATGAATGAAACTAGCAACAAGCTGAAGTTAGAAAAGTGAGTTATCACAGTAAAAAAAAAATTGGATAGTGTCAACAATACAATTTACCGCCAATGCATATAGGATTGCTTCTTTGCCTAGATCAAATATATTACGTTGCTCTAGAACATACAACAACAAGTATTTTCTTGCACCTCATGGTTTGTTGTTACTACTTCACAATATGCTGTTACATGGTAACCTTATATTCTATAAAGCTGAAGGTTTGGACAGACAAGGCAACCTGACTGATCTACATTGAGTGGTTTGGAAACGAAATGTAGTAAGACATAGGGTTCGATCACAAGAGAAAAATACACCTATGTCATTATACCTCGCGGTGACGATAGAACTAATTGTCTTCTCTTCTTGTGGGCTGAGTTCTGAATCATTGGTATTGACACTCCTTGTAACCTACAGGACAAGTCAAAGTGTCAGCAATTTAAAGGGAAAAGTACAAGACTATCATTGAACAAGATTCTATATATATGTGGGTGAGTTTTGTTTGATTGAGGGAGGGGGGAGAGAGAGAAGCGTTCAGTAACCTGGCCATCAGCGATGATAACTAAGACATGGTATTGTCCACCTGTTTTCTCCACTATATCTACTGCAGCATCTACTACTGGCCCATAAGATGTCGGCCCTTGAACACATTAACACAAAATCAGGACAATCCCATGGACATGGTTTAGACGATTCTTTTAAAAGAGGTTGCTGAGTGATTAGCATATATTTGCAAATTAAAACAGAAAATACCAGATAATTGCAGATTTGGAACTATTTTCCTGTAGCAAGCAAGGACTTCTTCAAAGCCGTGGCAGGGAGAGTGATCACTATGAAAACTAAACACGTCTTGATCATGCGTAGTCACTAGAACCCAATGTAAAAAATGAGTTCAATGGAAATATACAAATCCAACAGAAGATAAAAAGACGATGATAGTGAATGCTGAAACAATAGAGAAGCAGTGTCTGCAAACAGCAATTTTGGGGAATGGAACCTTACCATCACCAAACCCGAAACAAGGAATTAGATTGTCTTCATCGAATGCAGACAATGTCTTTCCAATGATAGATATGGCTTTCTCATATGGATTGAGTGAATCGCCTATTGCATGCAAGCTCCTGTTGTTGAATGAAACTTTACCTTCAGAGAGAAAACAGACATTTTTGTCTTCAGATTAAACTTCTGAGGGACATCTAACCACAAAAAAGTTGAAAATGATAGAGTTGAACCAGTGAACTAGCAAAACTATGATCAAAGCTTTAGAAGTGTCAAATGTCATTGTATTTATACTCGGGCATTAGATTTGGCACAAGCTGTTTGTCATTGCCACCAGCATTAGAAAAAACTAAATTTTAATGGTCACAATAAATTCACAAAATACTTCATATCAATGTCATATCGAGTACAATAAACTTAAGTGAAATCTACTTCCAATTTGTTGGTCAATAGTCAGAACATCATATGCTACACGATCTTAGGATTTATATTCAGAAATCGATAACACTGACAAACTAATTCAACTGCTCCACTTACCTGTCCATTCATTACTTTTCGTGAAATCTATCCCGATAATTAAATTTGACGACTCCAATCCTGATTCTCTCAGGGCTATAGTGACCTGAAAGTAAAGTGATGATTCAGATGTATGTAAGAAAAAGAGAGCTTCAAATTCCAAAGGCATGCAAACTCAGATTTTAGGGAAGACTATGGATCGTCTACATCTACTAATACGTTATTACGAATTTGTGAATATAACGAATGAACGTTACATTTACAACGAGCAACAAAATGTTGCTCTCTTTTTGATGAAATGATACAACCCAGGGAGAACCACACCCCAAAAGCTAGCTATTAAGGTGGGAGAGCCCAGGGCTATATAAACCGCATATCAGCATATTGCCATACCGATGTGGGACTCAAGTCTCATACCTTGCAATGGATCATAACATGAAATGTTATTGTCCTTCCCCTTATTTGGTCTTTTTAAACTTTCTGAATTTCGCACTATATACAGAACTCTAATGTCATCCTCTTGAAAAACGCTTATCAAAATGTAGTGATTTGACTCTTTGGAATATTCATTTTGTGTCATTGATTCATCTAACCCCTATCCTGACACATATACACACACATTCAAAAAGAAGAAAAATAGTGGAGCATTCAGAATATCTCCTGTACAAGTGATTTTATGTATTCCTCAAACATAGCTTTTCACTTTGACAAGTGATAAACTGAGAACCAGAGGCTTAATTTAACTACTTTAAACATATGGATCAATGAAAATCCACATTCTTGTAGAACAAAACCGGGCCTTCGCCTTGATCAAATGTTCGTCCACAATGCAATATTTGTCCTCCTAAGTACTCTTTAGCCCTCAGTCAAGTCCTCTTTCTAGTATGCAAATAAATTTTCTTTAGATGTACAGAGCTATCCCTAAAAGTCTTGTTTTCTTTCCTCAAGTAGATGGGTATATTGTAATTTATTACTATCTGGAGATAAGTACTATCTTCCACAAAGCAATTGATCTTTACATACCAGGTGCAAATCTAGGATTTCACTAGAAAGACTTAAGCAATAATAACTAGGTTCTAAATGTAATATGAATACATATTTAACGAATTTCTTAACACAAATACACTGTGTTCGAGCAAAAGTAACTCGGTTCGGCTGAACCAGAGGCGGACGCCACGGGGCACATTATTCTGCTCAACCAGTGCCCCCTAAAGGCTTCTAGTATTCAGGGTGTCAACTGCTTTAAATTAACCATTTTCAAGGTATATACGTGTATATATATATATATATATATAGGATTTCATCCGAAGTTAATGGGTCCGGTGACCCCTCACCTGTACACATGGGTCCGCCTCTAGGCTGAACCCGTATTGGGGCTTCTACCTCCGCCCCGGTATGTAACAGTCTCAGGTGCCTCTTATTAACGTCCTCTATAACAGTTATCCTCTATTACAACACTTCATTCTAACGTCCAAGTTTCTTTTGTCACCAATTTTTCGTGCTATGTGAAGATATATGTTCTGTACTTGCTGTAACAACCAAAGAATATTATGAATAAACAAGGTTGTTATAAAGAGGCTTTAACTGCATAGTAAAAATGAAAAAGGAAAGAACAAACCTGATCAAGGGATGAGAAATTATCAGGAATATAGTAGTACTTGCTCTTCTTCTTCTTCTTATTATTATTATTATCCTGAGTCATTTGTTCCATTTCCTTTTTGCTGTTAGTGGACGCCATCTTCCCGTTACTAGAACCCGAATCAGAAGAAGAACATTTCACCGGAATAGAACTATTATTATCATTTACAGAGGATTCAAAGGTGGAAAAAGAAGAAAGCAACCGATTTCTTGTTCTCTTAGAAATCGAAGAAAAAGAAGTAGAAGTGTTGTTATTACTGGAATTCGTACTACTACTACTACTATTACTACTCTGCTTACGAAATGGAAAACTGAAAATATTACCCATTGACGTTGATATTTTTTTTTTTGGGAATTTTGGGGACCCTTTAATCTACATTATTGAGCAAGTTTTCGTGAGAAGACTTGACAAAAAAGAGATAAGGAAAGAAAGGAAAGAATATGATTCTTTAGATATTGCAAATTGAAAGCCATTAAATTGGATTGGTAGAGCAAAAGCGAATGCTTTAAGTGCTTTGAGGTATTGTCATCCCCATAGACATTTTCCGGGAAACTACTGGTTGAAGGTGAGAAATTATTGCTCTTAACTCCCCCAGTAGACATTTTCCGGGAAACTGCTGGTTGAAAGTGAGAAATTATTGCTCTTAACTCCTAGAGGTCCCATTGGATTTATATTGGGGAAAAAAGAGAGGGAAATAGTACAAATTTGTCCATATACGGTTAGAAATTATTTAATTTTGTCCTCCGTTAAAATTACATTGTTTAGCTCGTTGTATATATTCTAGTAGGGGTGGGCATATTTCGGTCGGAACCGAAAAAACCGACCGAATCGAAATTTTTTTTATTTCGGTTATTCGGTCGGTTTTGGTTTAAAATTTTAAAATTTCAGTTTTTCGGTTCGATTTTCGGTTATTAAGTTTTTTAGTTCGGTTAACCGAAAAACCGAATTATTAGCATATATGTTATTTAAGTTATATATAGGCTAAGCCCATAGGTAATAAATTAATACTATTAGGTCTAATCTATCAAAGAATCAACCCAATTAAGTAAGTCCATCAACTTTCCAATCTTAAAGACTTTCCCTCTATTAAAACTTCCATAGCATATGTGATAGATACCGGGAGAATTTCACACAGAGTTGTAATTTACACTATGTTTGAATTTTATAATCCATAATAGTGGGCAAAGTTTAATCTATTTTTTTTTCTATAAACACAATATTTCCAACAATTTCGAAGTTTTGAGAAAAATCAACAAATTCACCGGTCGTATTATTACATAGAAGGAGTCCGATATGATAATATTCAAACCGAAAACCGAACCGAAATTAGAAAAACCGAACTGAACCGAAATTATTTCAGTTCGGTTTCGGTTACTACTTTTACAAAACCGAAAACCGATTAACCGAACCGAATTTCTTCAAACCAAACCGAACCGACCGAATGCCCACCCCTATATTATAGGTAGGCGTTTGGACATAAAAATTGTAATTTTTGAAATAAAGTAATTTTTGGAGCTAACTTGAAAAATGATATTCGGAATCTGAAATTATGTTTGGACATGAATTTCACTTGAAAAAAATATTGTAGTTTTGTGAGTGGGGAGATTTTATTTTTTTGAAATTTTTTGAAAAAAGTGGTTTTTGAAAAGCTCATTTTGAAATTTTTTTAAATCTTATAAAAATTCATGGACAAATACATTTTTGAAAAAGAAAATCAAAAAAAAGAAATTTTTTTAATGTACAAACAGATCCTATATCGACTCTCCTAACTTTTTCGTGATTTTACTTATTTATATTTTAATCCTCTTTAGTGATAATTTTGGCTTCGCCACTAATTAACCCATTTATATTTTTAGTATTCTCGTGCCATCATAGCTCTAACTTGAAATGAGGGATTTCAGGTGTACAAATTCTTCAAGAATAAAAATAAAATTACTCTAATGTTGAAGTTTCATTACAAGGGACAAAGAAAAAAAGTGAGTCTTTTTAATGAAAGGAATAATGTTAGATCAAGAGTTCAATAGACTGAAAAAATAGCTCAATTTTCGAATAATAATTGCGATACGGGTTCGGTTTAACCAGTAACTTCGGTCCAAATATTATATTTGTCATAAAAAATATATTAAATATGGATAAAATTACAAAATATTACTAATTTAATTAGAAGGGAAAATGACATTGTATGACCTCTCTTAAAATAATAGCCAAAAAATATCTATTTAATACACACACACACACATACACATTATGTATGTTATATACAAACAACAACAACAACAACAACAACAACAACAACAACAACAACAACAACAACAACCCAGTGTAATTCCACAAGTGGGGTCTGGGGAGGGTAATATGTACGCAGACCTTACCTTTACCCCGAGGGGCAGAGAGGTTGTTTCCAGGAGACCCTCGGCTCAAAGAGGCAACAAGAGACACTATATTAGTACTATCAATAGACTCATAATAAAACAACATAAAGTACCATAAAATCTATAACATAACATAAATACCATAAAAAACAAAGTAACAACAATATAAAAGATATAGGAAATACGAGAAAGATGTAAGGTATTAATACACAGAAGATAAAGCCGATCATCAGTAGTTGATCAATAGCATCCTAAGACTAATTCCTAACTGGCTAGTCTCACTCTAGTGCGCTGCAAAAAAGACATCACAATTTTCCTAACCTACAACCTTAATGCTCGATCTCCACAATTCCCTGTTTAGGGTCATGTCCTCAGTAACCCTAAGTCGCGTCATATCCTGCCTGATCATCTCTCTCCAATACTTCTTAGGTCTCCCTCTACCTCTCCTCGTACCCACCACCGCCAGTCGTTCACACCTTCTCACCGGTGCATCAGTGTTCCTCCTCTTAGGTCTCCCTGTATGTTATATACAAAAATTATATAAATTTTATGCACTTTTTCGGCTATTGAATGTAAATAGTTTCTGGCTCGGGCTAAAAGTAAAAAAACCCAAACAAGCACAAATATAAATATTCTTCTCTTTTGATAAATTTAGAGGACTAAAACGTCTCAAAGGTATAATTAAGGGAGCATTTTAAACTTATCCTCAAACAAAAGGGGACCATTTTTACCATTTTCTCTGTTAATTGAAATCAACTTGAACAAAAATACCGTAGAAACAAACCTAGCCAAGAAAATTTGCGGCAGTGACAGAGAGACTCCAATGAGTAGCGGTAAGGAGAAGAAGCAGAAAAAACCATTGCCCTTAGGACCCAATAAAGTCAAGAGAAAGCAGCAAAATTTGAAGAAAATGAAAATCAATAGCAAATCTAATGAAAATTCAAAAACCAAAAGCAAAATGAAAAACAGCGAAAAGAATATGGTCAGTTTCCCAACAGCAGCAGAGCAGCTGAAGTATTTCCATGAGCAGTATCAATCAGCTAATAGGGTTCAGCTTTCTTCCATAGAGCTCGAATCCTTTACAGGTACAGTATTTCCGAAAATAATGATTATATTTATAAATATTTAACTTTAAACTTTCTATTGTGTCCTTAATAAGATGATTTATAGCTATGCAACTGTCTATGACTTGTTTTGGATCACAAATTTTGAAAAGTTGTTTTTTTTAGTGGGCATCGGAAAAAGTGAAATATTTTTTCGAGTTAAAAGATGGTATTTGAAAATTGGAGTTGTGTTTGGACATGAATACAAATTGGAGTTGTTGTTTTTGAATTTTTGTGAGTGATTTGGAGAGAAAAACAGCTTTTTGGTGTTTTTCGAATTATGGAAAATTCTCGATTTCAACTTCAAATTGGATGTGGAATTTCCACGGCCACACTGATTCCGAAAAAATGAAAACATTTTCCGGAAAAAAGTGATTTTTTAATGGCCAAACGGGCCCTTAAACTTTGTACCTAGACGAACAATATCGTATAAATTGGAACGGAGGGAGTGCTTTTTATATATGCAACACAAGTTAAAAGTTTTATTTTGTAATAGGAGATTGATGAAATCAGAGGTTTGAGTTGGTAAAGTAAGAATTTTCTGGAAGTATGAATTTTAACTGGAAGAGTAAAAGTTCGTATTGATACTTGTTTTGGAGCTTAGTTACATTTCTGTCACATTGGACGGTAGTAATAGCTTGCTGTAACTACTGAAGTAGTTGGTCAATGGAGTGGTGTTATGGGTAAAATTTTGTCATTGGTGTATGTAATAGGAAGGGCCTTAGTAGTGATAGCATGCGAATCTCAGCAAAGGAAAAAAATATAGGTGATTTCTTTTCATTTGCCTAAGTGTTGGCCGCAATATTACCCGTACTTTATATTGGTGGGAGGATAACTGAGGTGTTTGTCTATGACCTTGAGATTTAAGCTATGTTCCCTTTCTGTTTCCACGATTTCGGAATACCTTATGTTCAATAGTTTTCTGAACTGCTTATGCCATGTTTTGATGCGATCTTTATGCTACGCAATTATGAAGGAAACAGTTTTTGAGAGGTTGAAAGTTTGTTCTTCTTTCCTTCCTTATGAGTAAAATAGACTATTCTTGTTGTTAGGTGTTACTATTTTTTCTTCTTGGCTGAAAAAGGTTTTTAACAGTTAGTTAGAGCAAGTAAAATTTAATGGACCATGAAAATCAAGAAAAGAAGAAGAGAGGAACTTTTACTGACTGGACAGAGAAGTAAATTTTTGGAGGGTTCATAAGCTCATTCTTTCTCTACCATTGTAATAGCTTTCTAACTACGGCATGAATATTACTTTGTATCTTAATGACACAGAGACATGCATGCTTGAGCTCAATCGCAATCAAGCTCAAAATAGTAGTCCATTGGCTGATCATATGAAGGTTGCTTTTGGACCATCATGGAAAGAAAGTCTTTGTGAAAAGGAGCTTGATGGGAAAATGGATCCAGGGCATCCTTCACTTCTGGTCATTAGCTTATCTGCCTTGCGTTCATTGGACCTTCTCAGGTTGGCAGCTTTTGTTAGAGTGGGAAGTTATTCTTTTTGAGTAGTTCTGCATGTACCCGTTCCAAAAATTTGTTATTTAGATATACATAGAGTAATGTAGCTCAACTATCAGTAGTTCATCTCTTAGTATGGCCTATAAATAAGTTTTGCTTTGGCAGAGAACTGCGGCCTTTGACAAGTGAATGCCGTGCTGCAAAGATTTTCTCTAAGCATATGAAGGTTGAGGAGCAGGTATTCATATGCTACTTGCAAGATTGAGCAATTTAAATATAATATTAAATCATTGACAAAAAGGATCTCTGCTAACTCATCACATGTCCTATAACATTCATCGTGTTAACACAGATAAACAATATTAAATATTTGTCTCTCTAGTAATGCACTCTTTCTTCTTCTCTTGTTAAATCTCTTTTTTCAAAAAAGACTTTTTTCAAAAAAGAAAAAACTTTTGACGTGGAATGCTAGGGATGATTTTCTTTTATTCATCACAGATTTCGTCTCTCAAGAATCGTGTTAATATTGCAAGTGGGACACCAAGCAGGTATGCATAGAATTTCCTTGCAAGTTGGACTCATTTCGCCTATGAATAATGATGTTGAAGTATTTTTCTATTGGTATTTGTTTATGTTTGTTTTTGCAACTACAATCAATGAGAACATCATGCAATTGCCATTTACATACAAACTCAGTTGATGGATAGTGACTTTCTCCATAAACTTTAGAGAATAGATTACCCAAAGGCGATGAAGCTTCATGGTCAATGGAATGATGAATTCATGCACAATGATGTTTCCAGATCTCTTTTATTCCCTTGCAAGTATGCATGTTTTAGTGGGACTTGTTCGGTAGCCACAGGACATGCATTATAAAAATGATTCATATGTATTGTCATGGGCTGCTTTCCAGACATGCCCCATGACCCCTTGGCCGCGCCCCATGG